AAAAGGAATGTATTACAGGGAAGCTTGCTAGTAGATTTCAATTTACAGTTCAGGGACAGACTCCGAATCTTGAAGAAACTTTTGTCAAAGACAGCGTTCCAGAGACTCTGACATAAACCCCAAAACACTGAAGAGTAACAGAAGAAAGCTAAGGCAGGAAAATGTACTCAGCTCGTTCCTCTGATCTCTGCAAGTATATCTATAGTGCGTAATGAATAAAAACCTCTGAAAGACAGTAACCAACCTGAAGTCCTCACACCCCAGCACACTACAGTGTAGATTTGCCATCTCAGAGTAGTCTAGCCCTGCAGAGCAGCCAGCTTATATGACCAGCGTATTGCTCACATGTTTCTGGGACTAAATACAGCAAGAGACTGTATTCAAAATACAGACAGGCTATTTCTTACGCTGTACAGAACTAGTATCAAAACCTCTGTAAAGCTTGTAGATGACCTGTGGGATCTAGGGTGCTAGCTACCAAACAGTCTTCTGGAAAACATACTTATTCTACTGAGGAGTCTAGAGAAAGTCAGAGTAACCAAAACTGTGGAACTACATCTGAGATGACACTGTCTCACTCGTCTCACAGGAGAAAGTCCTAAATGGAGGACCTGAATCTCCACAAGGCAACCACAAAGGTGAGATGCAGCTGTCTGGAGTCTGCTTCATCTCAGGAAGCCTGGGAGAGGTGAATATGTAGAGCCCCACATCCAGCAATTTGGTCTGGACCCAGCAGCATGGGCTTTACCAAGGTTGTAACACCACTATCTTACACTCTAATTAAAAAACATAAATAAATATACTACCCACAAATGTTTTGCCATAGAACTGACAGAAAGCTTATAAAAGCACAAAGGCAGTAGTAGTCATGCTGTTTAGTCATGTAACTGTAAAGTATCACAAAAAAACCCCAAACAGTATATGGTACATCATTGCTCCCAAGCTGCAAATATACATGCCATGTTTTACTACCAGGAAATAAACGGAAAAAATGTGTAGGGAAAATCCAAATAAACCTTAACTAAAGTTTTAGTAAATTGTGCCAGAATTATTATTTGACATTACCTGCTAATCAGTGCTTTGAGAATTCCCTCCATTGTTCCTTGTAATTTCTCTGAATAGAAAGATACACATTAGGAAAAACATTTTAATAAATGGAGTTCTAATTAAAATGAAGCTTGTGACCCAAAGCAGTCATCTCAGATTTTGTACATGCTAACTAGGATTACTAGTAGGTAGCCAGTTAATTTTTATTTTTTTATGGACTCCCAAAAATGGGACAAAAAAGCCCCAAAATAAAACTGTTTATGGAATGAAAATAGCACACTCCCTCCACTCCCAAAATAAATATGTCTATATATTGATTTTTTGGAAGACTCTCTCAAATTTGAGATATACCCACCTAAGTGCCTCCAGGAGTTGCAGTGTCAGAGCCTCAGGCTTAAAGCCTCATGACAAGACAGCCCTCAGCCCATCTCCACCTCCAACTTTGTACAGCAGTCATAGAGTTCCTCCAAAGTTGCATCTGACTGAAGTTTGTCATGCTACATCACAGGACATATAACCCAAATAAGGAAAGAACAGCAAAATGAGATATGAAACCCCAGACTCCTACATGGCACCATAGAAGCTGAGCAGATGCAAACACACAATGAACTGACATGATACATTCAAATGGGACCAACCACAGAAAAAGTATCTCTATTAAACCCAGCATGAATAAGACTTTTTTTCGCAGTTTTACCTGGGACAATTCAAAAGATTTCTGCCTTCAATTTTACAGTATTTCAGCTGAAGTGTTTTGGGTTTCCTTTGATTTGTTATTTTAGGAGGAAACGGAAAAAAAAAAAAAAAAACACCACTTAAACCTAGGAGTGCTTAAATAGAATCATAGAATCATAGAATAGTTAGGGTTGGAAAGGACATTAAGATCATCTAGTTCCAACCCCCCTGCCATGGGCAGGGACATCTCACACTAAACCATGTCACCCAAGGCTCTCTCCAACCTGGCCTTGAACACTGCCAGGGAAGGAAAACTCACAACTTCACTGGGCAGCCCATTCCAGTGCATCACCACCCTTACAGTAAAGAACTTCCATATGTGCAATCTTTACTTCCCCTGTTTAAGTTTTAACCCATTACCCATTGTCCTATCACTACACTCCCTAATGAAGAGTCCCTCCCCAGCATCTTTATAGGCCCCCTTCAGAGAGTAGAAGGCTGCTAGGAGGTCTCCACGCAGCCTTCCCTTCTCCAAGTTGAACAGCCCCAATTTTCTCAGCCTATCTTCATACGGGAGGTGCTCCAGTCCCCTGATCATCCTCATGGCCCTTCTCTGGACTCGTTCCAACAGTTCCATGTCCTTTTTATGTTGAGGATACCAGAACTGTACACAGTACTCCAAGTGATATTTCACAAGAGCAGAGTAGAGGGGCAGGATCACCTCCTTCAGCCTGCTGGTCATGCTCCTTTTGATGCAGCCCAGGATGCAGTTGGCTTTCTGGGCTGTGAGAGCACACTGCCGGCTCATGTTCATTTTCTCATCGATCAGCACCCCCAAGTCCTTCTCCACAGGGCTGCTCTGAATCTCTTCTCTGCCCAGCCTGTAGCTGTGCCTGGGATTGCTCCGACCCAGGTGTAGGACCTTGCACTTGGCATGATTAAATTTCATGAGGTTGGCATCAGCCCATCTCACAAGCATGTCAAGGTCCCTCTGGATGGCATTCCTTCCCTCCAGCGTATCAACCAAAGCAAAAAGCTCGGTGTCATCGGCAAACTTGCTGAGGGCGCACTCAATCCCACTATCCATGTCCATCGCAAAGATAAAGACTGGTCCCAACACCGATCCCTGAGGGACACCACTCGTTACTGGTCTCCAGCTGGAAAATGTTGAGCCATTGACCGCAAGTCTTTGCATGCGGCCATCCAGCCAGTACTTTATCCACTGAGTGGTCCACCTATCAAATTGATGTCTCTCCAATTTAGAGACAAGGATGTCATGTGGGACAGTGCGGAAGGCTTTGTACAAGTCCAGTTAGATGACACCAACTGCTCTACCCCTGGCCATCAGTTCCGTAGCCCCATCATAGCAGGCCACCAAATTGGTCAGGCAGGATTTAGAATCATAGAATCACAGAATAGTTTGGGTTGGAAAGGACCTTAATATCATCAAGTTCCAAGCCCCCTGCCATGGGCAGGAAACCCCCCTTAGTGAAGCCATGCTGGCTGTCACCAAGCACCTTGTTGTTTTTCATGTGCCTTAGCATGCCTTCCAGGAGAATCTGCTCCAAGATTTTGCCAGGCACAGAGGTGAGACTGACTGGTCTGTAATTCCCTGGGTCATCCATTTTCCCCTTCTTGAAAATGGGGGTTATATTTCCCTTTTTCCAGTTGTTGGGAACTTTCACCTGACTGCCATGAGTTTTCAGATACGATGGACAGTGGCTTAGCAACTTCATTTGCCAGCTCTTTCAGTACCCACAGCTGGATTTCATCAGGTCCCATGGACTTCTGCACGTTCAGCTTCTTAAGATGGTCTCAAACCAGATCCTCTCATACAGTGGGCCCAAGGTCTTCATTCTCACAGTCCCTGCATCTGCCTTGCAAGACTTGGGTGGTGCGGTCAAGAGCATTTGCCAGTGAAGACTGAGGCAAAGAAGTCATTAAGAACTTCAGCCTTCTCCAAATAAAGGGTAGCCAGTTCTGATAGCTTCCGGAGGGGGCCTACATTGTCCCTAGTCTGTCTTTTATTTGCAATATAACTATAGAATCCCTTCCTGTTATCTTTCACATCCATAGTCAAGTTTAATTCTAAGTGGGCCTTAGCTTTCCTAACCTGGTCCCTAGCTTCCCGGACAACATCCCTGTATTCTTCCCAGGCCTCATGTTCTTGCTTCCTCCTTTTATAAACATCTTTTTTCCCTCAAAGTTTCCTCAGCCTCTCCTTATGCATCCAAGGAGGTCTTCTAGCCCTCCTGCTGCACTTCCTTCTAGTTGGGATGCAACACTGCTGAGGTTGTAGCAGGTGATCCTTGAATATCACCCAACAGTCTTGGCCCCCCCCCGCCCTCTAGGGCTATATCCCATGGAACCTTACTAAGCAGGCCCCTGAAGAGGCCAAAGTCTGCTCTCTTGAAGTCCAGGGCAGTGAGCTTGCTGCACGCTCTTCTCACTTTCCTGAGGATCTCAAATTCGACCATCTCATGATCGCTGCATCCAAGGCTGCCCTGGAGTGCCACATTTCCAATGAGCCCTTCCCTGTTGGTGAGCACAAGGTCAAGCATGGCACCTCTCCTTATCTGCTCCTCTATTACTTGCAGAAGGAAGTTGTCTTCCACACAATCAAGGAACCTCCTGGATTGTTTGTGCCGGGCCGTAGCGTCCCTCCAACAGATATCAGGGTGGTTGAAGTCCCCCATGAGAACAAGGGCTTGCGAGCATGAGACTCTTCCTATTTGTCTGTAGAGCACTTAATCCACAGAGCCCTCTTAATCAGGCAGACTGTAACAGATCCCCACAGTAATGTCTCCCATCGCTGTTCTCCCTTTAACCCTGACCCACAAACTCTGTTGACTGCTCACCTGTCCCCAGACAGAGTTCCATACTCTTCAGCCTATCCCTAACATAAACAGTAACTCCCCTTCTGTGTCTGCCAGGCCTGTCTTTCCTAAAGAGCTTGTAACCTTCCATTCCAACACTCCAGTCATAGGAGCCACCCCACCATGTTTCTGCAATGCCTATTATATCATACCCCTGTAGACCTGCACACGTCTCTAATTCCTCTTGTTTTATCCCCATACTATGGGCTTTTGTATACAGGCATCTGAGCTGAGCTCCAAATGAAGCCACCTCATTGGCTGGAGCGGCTGGAATACCTCTACAATGCTCTGAGCATTTATTATAGGTGCTGGCGACTGACAGGGTGTGTTGGGGTGGAATGATGCCCCATCCCCCAACACATCTAGTTTAAAGCTTCTTGACTAGCCTAGCAAGCCTCCTACCAAAACGGCTCTTCCCCTTTGTTGTCAGACCAGCTCCACCAGCCTCCAATAAACCTGTCCTTCCAAACTGAGTCCCATGTTCTAGATACCCAAACCCCTGATTCTGGCACCACTGTTCTAACCATTTATTAACCTGGCTAATCCTCCTACCCTTTTTAAGGTACTCCCCTGTATCCTGGAGAATTGATGAAAAGACTATCTGAGCTCCAGAGCCACTAACCACCTCTCCTAGGGCTCTGTAGTCCTTCTTAATGTTCTCTGGGCTACTGCTGTCAATATCACTAGCACCCACATGGACGACTAGGTAGTAGTCTAGTGGGACTCACTAGACCAGGCAGCCTCTCTGCAACATCCCTGGTCCAAGCCCCTGGCAGGCAACACACCTCCCTTGAGACTGGGTCAGGCCAACAGATGGGTACCTCTGTGCCTTTCAGAGTAGAGTCCCCTACCACTATGACCCGCAGCTTTTTCCTGGAAGCAGCAGTAATGATCTTCTTTACCATTGTATCAGCCAATGTTGCATCATCAGCATCATGTTGGTGCATCATGTTGCGAGTGTGTTTCCTCGTTAGCCCCCTACAGAACTGCAAAGCGGTTCTGGGTGAGGACAACAGATTTGGGAGGAAGCCCCTTGCTTTTAATTGTCCTCTCCTTTTTTTGTTCTGGTTTGTTTTGGTTTTTTGTTGGTTTTTTTTTTGTTTGTTTTGTTTTGTTTTGTTTTCTTACTGTTTCGCAGCTTCCAGGATTAACGGCCTTCTTTTCTCCATGACCTAGAATGGACGCTTGAGGCCCCTGCACAGCTTGGGCCTGGAGCAAGCATTCACGCTTCTTCTCAGCTTCCCTGACACCGTTCAGCCTATTGACAGCATCCCGCAGCTCAGCCCCTGCTGCAGGACCTCCACCAGGGCGCACCGAGTACAGCCCTGCCCATTGTGCACCCTCCCCTCACCAGAGCAGTGCAGGCACTCTCCACACTCCGAGCTCTGCGCTGCAGCCTCCCCTCTCATCAGCTCTGTCTGGGTGCCTATGCTGGCCACCGCCGGGGCAGCCAGAGCAGAGCTCCCAGACCGGGCCCTGGTCATACAGCCAGTGCTCACCATCCCGCTCGCCTGCCCGCCCGAACTGCCTCCACCCGCTCTGTTTGCTCGCGCTCCCTGGGGCAGGTTTTAACCCACTCAGGGCCGGTGCCGCTCCCCCTGGCTCCGCCCCCTGTGAGTCCCTGCTCGCGTCAGCTGAGCTGCCGGCTCCGGGGCAGGTCCTGTCGAGGACTTGAGGCTCTCTCGGTGGTTCTTGTTGGGCTGAGTTGAGGCTCCTGGATGCTGATCTCACCCCGCTCCGGTGTTGAAGGCGTCCTCTCTCGAGCCACTCACCTCAGCAATTCAGTATTCAATAAATCAATAAATATCACTAAATCAGTAAAAGAATTCAGAAGAAGAAAAAATGCAAAAGAGTTACGGCTGGCACCACTGCTTTTTAAGGCTCTTGCTAAGCACTGAACACAGCTTTTATCCCTGTCTCAGCACCCACTTGTGCCATGCTAGGAGGTGAGCTGAGAAAACAGGGTCTGTACACAGTAACTCTGGACCTTCACTTTCCCAGGAAAGGAAGTAGATTGTTGTTAACAAAATAGCATTGACAGATGGAGGGTTCAATCAGCTCTGCTCCCATGCACATGGTCAGGTTATGGGCAGTTTGCCTCCCACCATTCCCTCACATACTATTGTTGGGAAAGAGTACCACAAATATAAATTCATTATCACCATACTTGTAACACTCATCCCTGGGTAGTTAAGGAGGCTGAGGTGTGGAAACAACAGCAGTTGACTCCCAATCCCAGACAAAGAAAATGGCAGAAAGCTGAAGCCATCATTGGGATTGTCATAATAGCACCTATTGTATTCCAGGGGTGGAAGATTTGAGGCATCTCACCAAAAAGCCAAAGGTGTATATTTGCACTTCATTCTTGATTCATGCCAGAAGAAAGCTCTCATGGAAGCAGCTGTAAAGGATAACCTGCATTGTCAGGCCAGAGAACAGAAGCAAGATGTGGGACAGCAGCTGCCACAGGGCTTGGCCATGCAACCTCAACGGGACAGGCATCAGACTGTGATTGTCTGTTATTGAATTCAGAGCTCTTTGCCTCATTTTGGTTTGGATAATTCCATAACCCTCAACTATTTTGTCATGTTAGCAAATTTACTGGAATATCTGGGGGGGGGGGGGTTGCATGAGAAAGCACTAGGGAATATAAACGTCCTGTAGAATAAGGCCCATATTTTATTTTATACATGACATTTGCTCTGAAATACAGACTCTCCACCTATTTGAGCTCACAGGTTTGCAGTTTACAGCTATATACATTTTGTTTCAAATACTCCCTTGAACTCTGATTTGTTCTGCTGTTAGCAGTAAGGTTGCACCCTTTTTAAATCTTGATCCCCTGAAATAAGGCTTTCCTGATTATATTCACAAGAGAAGAGGATATATATTTTTCACATTCATCCATAAGAATTTTGTACCTTTTAAATGTGTTATCTATTTTCTGTAGTCATCAGCCAGTCTTCATGCCTTAATAAAGAGTACAACACATATCACACTGAAGCATGCCTGTATTTTCAGAAAGCACCAACTAGTACATCAATCACTGCTGCACACCAGGTTTGTAAGTAAAGATGAGCCAACAACATTGAGACTTCAGTCTGAATACACTCTTAAATAGATTAGTGAAATTCATTACAATCATTGGGCAAACAGTAATTTATAAAATTAATTCAATTTAGTGTTTAATAGTCACAAGAACTTAAAATTCACCTTGGCATAAAAGAATGAATTTAAGAGGGAGTTGTTAGTTTTCCTGAGTATCATAGTGAACATAAGACTGCAGTTCACAAAATAGTCTGGGGTCCCTTTCACAGCTTCTTTCTCTCCACAGCTTTAACAAACTCAGGACAGATGAGTTTAGAAACATCACAGATCTGTTCAAAGTCTGTTTTCACATGGATGCATTCACTAGCCATACATTTAAGATAAGAATAGCCCTCTTTCTCTAGAACATCCAGCCCAACTTCACCACAAACAACTGCTAAACAATTACAGAGAGACAGCAAAAGCCATTTCTGATCTTGTCATAGGTTTGTTGCCATATTATAGCCCTAAAGGATATTATTTTGTGTTTAGATACAGTATATTTACATGTCTATCTCATGACTCCACTAGTCACAGTACCCATCGCTGCTGTTGGTCCACCAACTCTGTCAACTATTGGGCCTCAAATATTTTAAAAACTACAACAAAGAGGCCACCTGAATATCTGCACCGTCACTCTCCAATGAACCAATATCTCTGTGTAATTAGTGTCTCAGCATTTATGGAGGAGAGGCAAAATTTGGCCATGTTTTGGCAATGGCCACTTAGCCTAGAAGATAGAAATAGAAAACTGCTGAAAAAGAAATTACAAAGGACACATATTGGAATCCTGGCAGGAAAAGAAAGAAAACAGTGAAGAATGAAGGGTAGATTGTTAGACAAAGTCAACATCTTGGGAAGCAGTTGGTAAAGTGAGAGACAGATTTCAGCACAGTAAACAAGTTATAAAGTTCTCCACAGGAAGAGCAGACAAACCACCCTGGATTACTGCAATGTCTAAGCCATTTCTCCTTTGTGATGATATTCTTCTTCGAAAAATCTTCCTTTTCTGCCTACTTGTTTACAGGGAGACATGTAAGTGGCTGTCTGTTTTGGAGTGATACTCCTAAGTCAAATGCTGTAACTTGGCCTAGACACAATCTCTCATGATGAACACACATCCCATTTGTAGAAAGAAAATAAGGCTTTTCAACTAAAGCAAAAAGCATCTGGATGTGCTTTTTTAAAAAAAAAAAAAATTCTATTTTGGGAATAGTTATCTATCACACACTATTCCGAATGCAAAATTGCACAACAACTTGGTAGCACTTGAGGGTTAGAATAGTAGGAAGGATAAATCCATAGAAACCTTGCTTTGTCAGTGTATTGCAAAAATGCCAGGATATGACAGGCACGTGATCTCCTAAAGCTGTATTTTACACTCCACACAAATGGTGTAGCAGGAAGTGTTGGCTTTGTTACCTTCTACTCTGACTTCATCATGCAACAGTGTTGTGCGCTTCCCATCCCCTCAGACCTAATAAATGTGGTATATCTGTAAAGTGTGTGTGTAGTAGACGAAACAAGTGAAATTTCTGCTGAGATTACAGTGAAGAAAGCCATCTGTACTCCATCCTAGCAGCTGCAGGAGGTCTGTGACAGCAGTATCAGGGTATCAGCTCCTTTGTGCAAAGTGCAATATTGTCATTCACAGATTTGAAGAAAAATAAGGAGTTTCTCTGTAGTAGAGTTTCTGACCTGATCCCTCACAGATCTACCTTTTGACTGACAACAGGTACATCACCCAGGTACACAATAGACAGGCAACTAGCTGGAGAAGCCAGCGGGGAGCAATTATGAAAACTGACTATACAACTGAAGGAGAAAGATACATACTCATAAATCTTCCTGACAGAAATCAAGCAATAACCTGTCACTCAACCCAGAACCTAATTCTTTGGTTTGGAGCCCTAGATGTATGCCTCATGCCTACATTTCATCTTCTTAGTTCAGTTCTGTAATAGCCCATACAGACCCAGAGGAGTCAGGGAAGATAACAACATCTTTCATGTTTTCTTGACAGCCCTCTTTCACTTGAGCTTTAGAATGTTTCATGTATCTCACCTATGTCTGAACCCATTCAAACCTCACAGGAAGAAGAGAGAGATTCTAATGAAGAGATAATTACAGTCCCTAGGTGGATGGAATTTCACAAATTCAGCATCCATGCATCTGCAGGCTGAATGGATGTGCCAAAACCCTCATCTGTCTTTCCAGAAATCAAAGGGTTTGTTTAACAAGAATATTATCCCTGAAGTTTAGTTTTATAGGAGTTACAACATTCATAGCGGTATTGCAGCACTAGAGAAAACAGTGAAAGGTTAAAAAAAAAAAAAAGAAATAAAGAAATAAAGAAAATAAAAAGAAAATTAAAAAAAAAACCCTTTTCTCTGTTTCTGCCTGGTTGTTTTGTCACTTTTAACACAAGGACTAATATCACAAAGCTAAAATAAACTGTGCATTACATCACCACAGAAATCATTGTTTTCATTGCATGCAAACAGGTCCCACTTTGACACTGATTCCAAGCATCAAAAGAAAACTCATCCAAGTAAATTTGAAAATAGTTGACAAAGTTAGGTTTTGACCCAATAACCTGCTCTTTGCTGTGTCTTGTTCATTCTTCACGCATACAGAGACAAACACACCCACGTGTACTGGCTTAGACATGAAAGTTCCAATTGACACAAGGAAGAAAAAAGGTCTCTTTAAATGTAAAGTTTGCTAAAATGCTTTTACCAAGAAATGCACATATGTGCTGATTATAAATATTTACTGAATGGAGTAGAAGTAATGAATTTGGTATGCCTACCAAGGGCTGTATATTTTCAACTGATTTTATTTTTTCTGGAAGGCTTTATAA